AAGTAAGAGTACTACTATTATTAGTACAATAAGGTCGTAGTTCGTTCGTCCGACTAGTAGTACGTACGTACGTTCGTATACTACGACTCGAACTACTCCTCTCTCTCTCTCTCTCTCTCTCTCTCTCTCTCTCTGAATGCCATACCTTAGTGACCAATGTTAAGCTCAAAGGCCACCCCCTCCTCTCTCTAAAAATGCCATTGATTAATGTTCAATTCAAAGCTTTTTCCTCCCTGCATCTCTCTCTCTAAATGCAATTCTCTAATGACCAATAACCTCTCTATATGATCGAAACGCCCACACTCTCTCTCTCCCTAATACCATTCCCTCTCTTTCTAACTACCATTTATTTCTAAATGATGATTGTGTTCATCTCAAAGCTCTTTTGCTACCTCTTTCTCGAGTATTTAAGCTCTTCTCTTCATTGTTATTTAAGTTCTTTTTCTCTCTTTAAATTGTGTTTGTTTGGGGGAATTTAGTTCTTTAAAATAAATAAGTCATTTAGCGTTGAGTCAAAAAAGAAAAGAAAAGGTCATTTAGCATTGTAGCAATCCTGTTTTGGGCGCACAAGAAAAACTACAGTATCGGGAATTTACTGGAAGATTTTTTTCCCTCAAGTATCTTATTTTTTACTTTAAAAAAAAAGTAACTTTTTTATAGTGACTTGTATTTTGAAGTTATTTGTGCCCAAGACCCAATACGTTTCCCTGTCTCCCATCTCAGCCCTACTCGCCATCTTCCCCCTGACTTCGACTCGCAGCTCACTGTACTGCCTTCAATCCCCCATCCCAACTCGCAGCTCAGTGCCCTAGACCTTGCCACTGCCTGCAAGCTCCCATCCGTCAGTGTCCTAGACCTGGCCACTGCCTTCAAGCTCCCATCCCGCAGGTCGCAAGCCTTAGCCCGGTCTTCTTCTCTCTAGCGTCTGCGACCAGGTAACCTTCTTCTCTTTCCTCCCCTCTTTCATCTTCTCTCTCATCCCCGTCTTCCTCTGATCTCTCTCCTCTTTCATCTGTTCTCTCTCCTTACCTGCTACTTTCTCTCCCTCTCTCTCTCATCCTCTCTTATGAGCTCTATTTCCTTGCTTCTTTCGCTATCTCCTCTCCCCCTGCTTTCTCTCTCTGCTCTATTTCAGCCATTTCTCTCCCTCTCTTTCTACTCTTTCCCTCTCTCTGCGATCACTCCCTGGGATTTATGGAATCCTGCAAATTCTGGCAGGAGTGAAGCTCTGAGTGGATTTCTAGGGCAGCACCGCGGAACTTCATCATCCCACCCCGTGTGAGTACAATACCACTTCTGGCTCAATTTCACTGACAGTCTATGCTGTTGAATCTCTTTCTTTCCGAATTTTGTTATGGTTAATGGTTTGGAGTTTTCTTGAAATGGGATGTCTATGAATGAGTTTCGTGAGGTTGATTGGTTTCTGATCCGTATTCTGTTCTGTCACAGTTCTTTGCAAGAATTTGTCTGGTTAATTCAGAGTAATGCTAGATTAAAGGCAATGATCCCCTGTGTGATTTTCCATTAATTTGTTCCCCTGTACTAGACTGTCAAAAATGACCCACAGAGTCGAAACATTTTACCCAATTTGAAGGCCCCAGATTGAAAACCTTGCTGTAAACAAACGGTCACACCCAAAGTTTTCTGTGTTACTGATTTCCTTCTCCCCTTGTTCATTTATACATTGTATGGCAATCTATCAGCTTCCGCAACCCAAGTTTTTTTTTCCTGTGTTACCGAGCAAGTTATCTAGCTTGCTCAACCCAAGTTTCTTTTCCCCTGAAAATAGTATTGTCCCTCTTTTTGTCTATGAGCACATATACAGTGGTATGCCTATTTTGGGAAGTGGCCCTCATATATCCATGACTATTCGAATTCTGGTTGCATAGACCACTGTGAAATGGGATTTAAGCTTTACAATGATGAATGGTATTGCTAATTTTATTGAAGTCTTATTTCACTCCTGGATGTTTCTCATGTTTTTTGGTGTTTGGTGATTATATTAGTTGTGCTGCTTTCTCTGTTTAGAGCCAATATTGTTTTGTGTTAATGATAATGTTTGATTATTAGTTTAGAGTTTTAAAGAGCATGGACAACTCTATTACACCACTTGCCAATCAGCCGTTGCAATGTGTTCCCTCTGCCCCTTTGCACTCTTTTATGTCTCTCGCCCTTGAACATTTTACATATGGGCATTCAATGCTTGTGAATATTTAAACAATTGCTTTTAGCCTCATGGAATGCAGCTTATTATCAACAATTCTGAGGCAAGTCTTATGCATGATGAGGAAATTCAAATTGACATTTCCTATTAACTGTGCAAAACAAAAAAAAGTAGAAAATTAAAGTGACACTTCATAAGCAACTGGGATTGTAAGGGGAGCACCCCGCTATCTTTAATATTTTTAAGAGCAGTAGTGATCCATAAACAGTTGTGGTCAACTCTAGCACTCTGGAATCCACTTTTCTAGTCTGAAACCTAGTGATTTCTGGCCCAACTTCTGGGTATATTATCTCTGCGGGCATCAATTAAGCGTAAGGCCGATGCCTTTGAGGCAACTGCATTTTTTTTATTTGTCATCAATAGACATGATAAGCAAGACAATGCAAGCCCTTATATGTAGGATGCTTTAATACTGCTTTGCTGTTGTATTTGGGTGTTATTTTGCTACTTCTATCAAGAGACTGCAGTTTTTGAGAAATAAGTATCCATTCAGCATGTATTACATATTTGTGATTTATCTTTAGAAAGTAGTAGGCTGACTTTGATTAACTATGTTATGCTGCTATAAATAAATTTGTAATGACTATCACTTAGGTAGGGAAACATGAGCATTACATAAATGATAGTGACTGAGCTTATGCTTTTAATGAAGGTTAAGAGTACATGTGAACATTTGGTGAACACTATTTTGACAAGGCAAGAAGGACAGGGAGGTGGCTGCTGCTGCTCAGGCAAGGAAGGACAGGGAGTGATGCACGTGGATAGTTGAAGCCATGTCGAAGGGGGAAGAAATAGGTGTTGATGTCTTCCTAAAGGCATCTCGGACATTATGTTTGGTTGTTTGCTTTTTGGATGGTTGGACAAGCTTTAATTTCACTGTCTACTATGTTCGTTAGTTTACTTCAATTTGTTTGTTTTCTTGTGGGATGATCCTGATATTAATGACAACAATCTCTCACAACACTATGGACCCCCTAACACTTTGAAAACTGTAGTATTTGGGAAAAGTGGACATAGAAGGTTCAAAAGCAAGGGAAAAGTATTTGACAATTCTCTCTCTCCACAGAGCATCCCGTGAGGACCAAGAAGCTCTCTCTATGAAATGCCCCAAAGAAATATACACACCATCCCATGAGGACCAAGAACCTCTTCCTATGAAATGCCCCAAAGAAACTACCCTCCACTAAAACCCCTCCTAAACCTCCCAACGAAAATTAGGCCTTTCTCCTCCTTTTCTTCTTCTTCCCAACTCTTCTACCCAGTTTTTCTCAGAGAAGAAGAGGCCTTCTTCTCCAACCAAAGCATCATAGACCAAGGCTCTCTCCCAAAAGCTTCCTTCCCATGTGACCATATAAGAACCAGAGATACAATAACATGGAATCAAGTTATTTCAGGTCTAGGACGCTATGGCTGCTCATCCGAAGCTCTGCAACTTTATCGAGAAATGACCCATCGTGGCCTAAATGGCAGCTCCTCCACGTTTAGTAGCCTTCTCAGCATCTGCGCCAGCAATGGTGCCTTGATTGAAGGCATGGAGCTTCACTCCAAGACTGTGATTCTTGGGTTTGAGTCCAATTCTTATGTAGGCTCCTCTTTGATCACTCTTTATGCACAGTGTGGAAGATTTGAAGAGGCTCGCACGCTTCTCGAGCTCTTGGAAGAGAGGAGCTTGGCCTCCTTTAATGGCGTTTTGAAAGGTTACAGTGAATGGGGTTTTGGCCTGGAGTTGAAGGAGCTGTTTTTTGAGATGAGAGAGGGAGGAATTGAGGCTAACTCTGTGAGTTTCTCTTACTTGATTCAGGGGTTTGGGAGAGCAGGGTTGCTATGCCATGGAAGAGAGCTCCACTGCCACATGATCAAGCTTGGGCTTGCAACATCGAACATATTTGTGATGAATTCTCTTGTGGATATGTATTGTTCTTGCGGGGTTTTATCAGAGGCTCTGCATCTTTTCAAACTAATTCCAGCCATGGATGTTTTGTCATGGAGTTCAATTGTTTCAGTGTTTGCAGAGCATGGAGATATCGTACCCTCCATAAAATATCTCTATGAAATGCTATGGTGGGGGAAGAGACCTTCTCTGTCTACTTTTCCCAAGCTTCTGAACCAGTGTAGTAGCCTGAAACTCTTTTTGAAAGGGAAACAAATTCATGGGTTGCTTCTAAAACTAGGGTTAAATGGCTCTGATTATGTGAGGTCTTCTCTGATAGATATGTATGGGAATAGCAGAGACATCGAAAGCTCTTTAAACGTGTTTGATGAAATTCATGATAGAAACTTGGTTTCTTGGAACTCTGTGATCTGTGCCTTGTCAGAGTGTGGGTTTGCTTTGGAAGCCATTAGAGCTTTCAAAACAATGGTGCTTGAAAACATAAGACCAGATGAAATTTCTCTCTCTAAAATTCTCAAAGCTTGTGCTTCCATGGCAAGCTTGAACATGAATGAACAGTTCCATACCCAAGTCATAAAAAATGGTTTTGAATCAAATTTAGTGGTCTCCACCTCTCTTATTGATTCCTATGCAAAATTTGGTGAGATTGAACTAGCTCACCTTATTTTTTATCAAATTCAGGCACCCACCACTACCTCTTTAACTGCATTTATTTCGGCATGTGCTCGAAATGGGTTCGAGAGAGAGAGCCTGAAATTGTTTGATCTCATGTTAGTGAAAGGACTGAAACCAGACAGCGTAACGTTTCTCTCTCTACTTTCTGGGTGTAGCCATGGAGGCCTAATTGAAGAGGGGAAGAGGATATTCGAAACAATGGAAAAGAATCATGGCATAATTCCTGATATTCGCCATTATTCATGCATGGTTGATCTTCTTGGAAGAGGAGGGCTTCTAAATGAAGCAGAGGAATTACTAAAAGCTTCACCATTTGGGGTGAATTCAACAATGGTGAGCTCACTGCTGAGAAGTTGCAGAATTCATGGGAATTTGAAGATGGGTAGACGAGTCGCGGAGGCATTAATGGAGCTGGAACCTGAATTGGCAGCAAGTTATTTGCAGGCTTTGAATATGTTTAGTGAGACTGAGAGTTTTACTGATTCATTAGAGATTAGAGAGATGATGAAAGAGAAGAAGTTTGAGAGGGAGCCTGGGTATAGCTTATATATAATGTGAGAATGAGATATTTTAGTTGGCAGTCATGTCTTTTTTTATTGAGAGAAAGGAAATCTTGTGGATTGCTACGGATGTTAAGAGAGATGATGAGAGAGAGAAGGTCAAAGGAGTGCATGTATACATCTTAGTTAGCCTTCATTTTTGGTCAAAGTGCTGATGGTCTTAACAACCAGTGAAGGAGTTTAAAGCAGATATTGGAAAGCTGATGAAGGCAGAGAATGCCTGAATATTTGTGAAAGAATGATCTAAAGAGTTATGAAAAATACTTGAGAGATGATAAGAGAGAAGATCAAGAGAGTGCAAGTATAGATGATGAGAGAGAAATTAATTTGCCCTGAGTTTTGGCTCAGTCCAGATTACCTTTCACAATTAGTGAAAGGGAGACTTGAGCAGATATTAGAGTTGAGGGAAAATAGAAATCAAAAGTGTGCGAGGTTAAATCTTTTGCAATCACTGAAAATGTGGTAAAAGTTTAGAAAGAGAAGGTCAAATTATGACTGGGTACACAGATTAATTTAGCTTGAATGCTTGTTCGGTGCTGATGACATTCCCAACTGGGAATAGAGTAAATTTTTTGTAGATGATAGTGTAATAATTACAGAGAGAAAGGTCAAAAGAGTGCAATGATGCAACTTAATTTAGCTTTAAATGGCTGGTTCAATGGTGATCATGTCTCTCTTGTGAGAGGGAATTCTCAGCAGGTAGCACAGAATTGACGAGAGAGGAGCGGGTCAAGAGAGGACATGGCACAACTTGTGCGATGGGTAGATTTGAGCAGACATTAGAGTGATCAGTGATCAGGAGGGAGAAATAGATCAAATGAATGCAAAGTTATGACTTTATTTGGTTTGAATGTAAACTCAATGCTAATAGTGAGATCGAGATTTTTGCAAATGTAACAGATGTGAGAGAAATTGACGAGATACCGTCAAAAGGGTACATGGGTGCAGCTCAATTTAGACTTGATTTAAGCCTGAGGCAGGCTTTTCATGAGACCTGAGAAAAGCATCTCTTTCTCAGGGTTTGTCTTGACATGGAAAGACATCCTTTGTCCAGACCTCAAGCAAACTGGGAGGATTCTTTTACTCTTTCTCCTCCACTCAATCTCTTGAATCGCCTCGAAGTTATACTGATCCCCTTTTCCCATTTTCGCAAGACCGGTTCTTTCAAATCTGAGATTCAAACCTTTATTCTTGCCCCCTAAGGTGACAAGTCCATTTGGTTGTCAAACCCTACTACTAGAGTAGTGCAAGGCTTTAGCTGGAGTGGGTTTTCTTGTCACAAGGAATGGATCCAGTCTATCAATCCATTCAGGTTCTTGTGGAAGGTCGCTAGAATTCATTTGTTGGAGGCACAAGGAAGCTTTTCCATCTACTGTGGAACAATATCGGGTGAGGTTCGGAGTACTCTTTAGTCGAGGATACTTCTTTAATTTCTGGGTTGTTTGTATAACCGAGATATAGAAGGCGAGTTCTAACCATGGTGAAGATAACTGTCAGTTTACTGGTAGTGAAAGAAGTTTCCATGTGCTTTGGAAGTTTAAAGCACTCATCTCTGAGATTTGAAAATTAAATCCAGAAAAAATATGAAGATTTTAGACATATGTTCCCTTTGGTCGTGGAAAACTGAAATCTCTATGGGCAAGTTTGTTTCACGCGAAATTATTTTTCAAGAAATATTTTCACCTGAAATAATTCCTTCATGTGGGTAGGTGTGAGAATATTTTTATTAGTCCCGTGCATCTATTTACACCAATTAGCAGTTACTTGGTAAGAAAATATTCTTACATTTAATCGCATGAGGGATTTTTTTTTACATGAAAATATTTCTTGAAAAGCATTTTCATGTAAACCAAACATGCCCTTAGAGGAAATTTTTTTTCATACAGGCTGGATGCATTTCTGCATATGTGCTCCAGAAAGTGTTTAAAGAAGGATGCTAAGTAGGTGTTCATCTAAAAACAATGGAAACTAATGGTTCAAATATTTTCTTGCCTGAATTTATTATTTTTAGTTTTTAAAATTTATTTCTTTTTTTATATTCATGATCTCTATCTTAGAGATTACATGTCTTTAAAAATTAAGTCTTAAAATCAAACTCAAAAATAGATTTATTAATAGGCCCGCATTTTTACATATGCGGGCTTGGCCGCATAAAAAACGTGTCTTTTCAACATTAAAACAACATTTTTCTATTGATTTTGGAGATGCATCTTTAATTCTGTAACTTTATATAAACTTTTCCCCTGTTTATACTAAAATTCAGCGTCATTCGAGGTTTGCTGTTACGCGCATAGTGCAGGCCGAACTTTTGCCACTATTGCCATGTTGCGACGATTTTTAGCCAATTATTGCCTGGCTAAAATCCTTAGTGGGAAAATTAGCTTTGTAATATTGTAATTAAGGCTTTAAAAAGCCCTAGAGCTAACATTGGGTTGATTTCATATGGTGTTTCGGGAGAGCACAAGTCCTAAACAATGGTAGAATAAAACTGAGGGAATTGCATAACAGGTAATCTGTTACTTAAATAATGGATAGCATACCATTTGAAATACGAAAATGATCTCATTTAATCTGCAACTGAAATTAAGTAGCACTTTGAAATATGAGAGAGATATCTCATTTACCCAAAAATAGCTTCAAGCTCTCAATATGTGGCAATTCGAAGGAAATAATAATTGATAAGTAAGTTAATATAAAATGATGCAAGTTAAAATAAATTTCAGGTATTTTAATTTGGAAAAAGTTTATATAGAGTTTGGGCTTCAAACAATCAAATTTGAGCTTACCTCAAAAGTTTTATTAGAAGAGGTTCTTTTGATACCCAAATATCTTCAAATTGATCATCTCGACATCAAGATGCATGGACATGAGAAAAAAATAGATTTAAAGTTTTGGAAATAGTGTATTTTGTAACGCTTTTTTGGACCGTCAATTTTCAAGATTTTCAAGATTTCATATATCTATTGATCTACACTATTTTTGAAGCTTTAAATTTTATAAATAAATATGAAAATACAGGTAGGTTCTATACAAACCACACCCTTTTAATTTTATTACACATTTCAAATTATTGCCAACTTTATCATTTCTAAATTTTTTGAATATTTATGTTTTTTATTATGTGCAATTTGAGTTCATGTTTACTATTCTCAGCAACAAAAAAAAAAATGTTCCATAAGAAACAAAATATAAATTTAATTTAAAGGATATTTATCAAAATAATCATTGGAGATACACTATTTAACATTTTACGCATTCGGTACTAATTCCGACTCAAGATCATGAACCGAGCTCTTCATGTATTAGGAAAGAAAATAATGTCTCACGATTGAACAAAGACCGTCCAATTTTTGAAGGGAAGATCTAAGTATCAAAAATCTCAAAATTCAAACTTTTTCTTTTGAAATTAATCATCCAGTGATTCTTAGGTGATAGCCAACATTTGAAACTAAAGAAATTCTCCCAAGTAGGTCTTTAGACTGAGGGAGTAGGTGCACAATATGCTCCCAGGTGAGCATAGTACATGTTTACGAACAATAAAGTCAAAAAGATTTTATGCTTCTGGGAGATCATATTGTACATTTACTCCTTCAGCTAAAATTTGACCTAAGATGGGATTTAGCCTCTTCAACGTATTATCTAATATCAAAAGAGAACTTCCATATTGCATTTTGTGTCTCCCAAGATAGAATGGAGGTCATCTGATATTTGGAGGGTATGATCAGAATGCATAAGAACCCAAAATTTAAAGTTTATTTTTTTAAATATAGGCATCCAGTTATTATTGCATGGATCCTTAAAAAGTTTATCAAAAAATCATCTTAAATAACTCTTTTGAGTAAGCATACAATACGCTCCAACAAGAGCAAGGTGAATACCCTCGCAAATACAAAGAAGAATGAGATACAGACCTACTAAAAGCTAAAAAGAAATGAGAGGGAGAGAGTAAAAAAATCAGAAAACTAAGCATGTCGATGGAGAGAGAGACTATAGAAAGATAGAAGAGCTAGGATATCAAAAGGTCTTAGTACCTTTGGATTTAAAAATACTTGTGTGTGTTTCAAAATGATATAGTATCTTATGTGGGAAAAAAGTATTGGTTTTTAATCCCACATTGAAAAGGAGAGTGTGGATTGAGTGGCATTTAAGTGTAGACATCCCCACAACGAACATTCTTAATACAAAAGTGAGAGTGATGGTCCATGTGCAGAGCACCCACACATGTTGCGGCCTCTTGAGACTTTTCTCACACAATGGACTCCATAAGGGGTTCTTTTTCTCAAAGCTTATAAATTACATTCTTTTAAGCTTATAAATTACATTCTTTTAAGATCTTTTCTCACACAATACTCCATACTCTCTACGATTTATCAAAGAGCATTCTCAAACACTCATTCATCACTTGTACTTGTTTTTTTTATCTCTCTTTCTAAAATACAAGACTTTGATGCTCTACACAATGGGATTCAAGCTTGGGTACATATAAAAAGGATTCTTTTTCCCATATACAAATTACACTAGTCTAATACCCTTTCTCACACAAAACTTCATATTCTCTACGATTTTTCAAATAGCATTCGTTTTTTTCTCTCTCTTTCAAATAGAAGACTTTGGTGCTCTACACCATGAGCTTCAAGTTTAGGTGCATAATAATAAGATAACCTTTTGTTTTCTTGTATCCCCATAACGATTACTCTTTCTTATACATATCATTTATAGTATCAAAGAGGGAAAGTTTTTTACGTGACTGGATTAGTTTTTGCCTCCTTTTTTACCCAACCGACTCCCAACAAATTGAGCTCGAGAGAGAATAAAAAAAAGAACAAGTAAGAGAGCGAAAGAATAAGAGGAATTTATGGGAGGGACAGAAGATAGGAAGTAAAAGAGAGAGTATGAGTATGAGGAATGAGATATGGAAGGCAAGTTAAAGAGCTAATCTTGTCACCATGTCCTCCAAAATCAAGAGACAAATATCATGGCAATAGAGAGAAGAAAGAAGAAATAAGTATGCATGCATGCATGTCCTTTTGCCTTAAATCTAACGTGCCTAGAGAAAGAGAGAGAGACATGAAAGCACAAGAAAGGAAGCAGGGTAGGTAACCTCTTCGTCTTGACAAACCTGCCACCTGCCCCAATAATTGGTGACAAACAATTGGGACAGATTCTCGTATCAAAAAATCTTTCCCGTACGTTCCCTCTATCATTCATAATTTATTAAGAGAATAAAATCTACTCAAATACTTAATTTGTTGTTATACCTCTTATTTGGTTTGTTAAGAGAAGTGATATGCTTTCCATGGGTCATCATGGGTGGGAATTGGTCGGGTGGTCATGTCGACGTGACAAGTCCACCCAACTAGATTTTGGACCTAACGGGTTAAATTTGGGTCCATTTAACCTTGATTATGGATTGGGAATTGGGTTTAGGTTCACTTGATACATTGGAGTGGAGCTAGATCCGAGTCTCCCCAACCCAAAATACATGTAACCTCTCATTATTATATGGGAAAAGTTTATATAGAGCTGAGGCTCTAAACAATCACATTAGAGCTTACCTCAAATATCCTCAAATTGATCATCTTGATGTCAAGATGCGTGGACATTAAAAAAAAAAGTAGATTTCAAGTTTTGGAAATAGTGTATTTTGTAACGCTTTTTTTTTACCATCAATTTTCAAGATTTTCAATTTTTCATGGATCTGTTGATCAATACTATTTTTGAAGCTTTAAACTTTATAAATAAACATGAAAATATATTTTAAAGCTATCACAAAGATTTTCGGTATTGAAACACATTTCTCGACACTATTTGAAGGTAGGCTCTAATTTGATCGCTTAGAGCCTAGGCTCTATACAAACCGCACCCAATATATATATATATATATATATATATATATATATATATATAGAGAAGACTACTCGTCACGACCTACGTACGTACCGTACCGACTAACAACGTAAACCAACCAACCGAACCCAACGTATAGTAATACGTCGGACGACGTACTAACGA